GGCAGCCGGTGTGGTGTGCACAAAGCCAAAGGGTGAGCACTGGGATCCTCCGTGATGTCTGTGCTGGGTGGGGGGAAAAGGTCCTGAGGCAAGAAGAAAGGGGAAAAGTGGCACATGTTCATCCTGGCAAGCTCTTGAGGGGATCCCCTCTTTCCTGGGGAATGCACCTCATTTTCCATCACCCTTGGGAGCATTGGATATGCTTTTCTGACCCCAAAACACACTTATCCCTCCCATTTCTTATTGGAGCCCGAATTTCCTTATCACCTTATCCTCCCCCCGCAAACCCTCTGGGCTCCCTCCAGGACCAGCCCGTTTCTCAGATAGGTTGTGGTAGAGCTGGGACAACTTTGAAACATGGAGGAAGGGCAGAAATAAGCCTGTGTGAGATGTAGCACCCCAAATCCAAAGCAGGACAATGCACCAGAGAGCTGATGCAGGTTTTAAGAGCAGCAGGAACATGGAAGGTCGCTCTGACCCCGCCATCCCATTGTCCACCCAGGGAAATGGGTCTTAATGTGAAGCCTAATTAGGAAAGCCCATCTCCACCACCAGCTGGGCTGCTGGGGGCAGTCAGGCCATGTTCGGTGCTAGGTTTTCTTGCACGCCTTTCCTGGTCTTGGCTGGAAGTGGGATCCTGAGTCCGCTCTCCCCCCACCTCCAGGTGCTTCACCATCCTGCTCGGCGCTGATAGCGCTGCTGGCCCTGGTGATGCTGCTGAGCGGGGTTCTGCTGTGGCTCAACCTGAAGAGGAGGTACATGGCAGCAACCCAGACTAGAGGTGACAGTCCCATCCCTGTGTGTCCCCCCTCCAACTCATGGTCCCTGCTCCAGCCACCCCAAAACCCAGGGGAACGTGGAGATGGGGGGCAGCTCAGCAGCTGCCAGAGCCCAGTGACAGCCCAGTGTCCCCTCCATCTCGCAGCGCGCTGGCACCCCAGGGACCAGAGCACTTCAGCGATGTCCTTCCAGCCCGTGGGGGCCATCTACCTCCCCACCACGGCAGAAGCCCCTGAGGACGCCGAGACGACGCAGCTCACGAAGGAAGACGCTGCCCCGTGATGCCAGCCCCTCCCCAGCTCACGCCCCGGGGGGTCGCAGCGGGCTCTCGCCGCACCCCTGCTTTTCCCTCCTCTGCCTTCCTGATGACTGCAAAGCAGGACCTGACGGGCAGGACATTTCGAAAACAGCCGGTAGCAATGACTTCTACCAGGAGCCCCAGAATAGCTGGCCAAGGGGGGTGGTCTCACGGTCTGGTGACATTTATTTAACCTGCCTCGGCACCCTCCGGGCAGCCCCCACAGCTCAGGAGCCAGATGAACCCGGCAGCCAGCACAAGGCCGAGTGAAAGGAGCAGAGGAACAGAAGGAAGGGTGCAAATGAATTAAAAAGGGGTCCCCAACCCTCCAGGCATGATGGGTGTGAGTGCTGGGGGGGACATGAGCTGCTTTTGTGCTCCTCTGCCACAGCTTCTCCCAGCCCTTGGATGGAGGCAAGGCCCCCCATTTCTTGACCAACCCAGGTGTCAGAGCTGCAAAGCACTTTATCCCACAACCCCAAATACTCAGCCATCCTCCCTGGATGCATTTTGGGGCAGGCACAGAACCCCATTTTCTTTGCCTCATGGCCCCCAACCTGCGACCATCCCCTGGGGACCCAACCGTAGGGAACCTCCCTGTTGAGGTCCATGAGGGCACAAGGCGTGCTATCACCTGGTAGCTCGCAGTTCTCCACTGGCACCCCATGCCTAAAAGCATCCCAGCACAGAGGGGCTCCACTCTCAGCCTCACCCCAGGGTCCATCAGCCTCACAAACTGAGGGCTGTGCCCCCAGAGCACCCAGGATGATGGGAGGGATGTCAGAAGGCCCAATGAGCACAGGTCCCAACAGCAGGAGATGGCATCTGCCAAGGCAACTGATGCCTTCCTTGCCAGACAAAAAGGCAGGTACATTGTGCCCAGTCCTCTCTCCACCTTCTCCAGGGATGAAGAACGTCCCAAAACTGGGAAAGGCACAGAACCAAAGGTTTCTCCACGTTTCTCCTTTTTCCTGTGATGTTTCAGAAGGGCTGAAGAATGAGGTCCCAAAACTAGGAGTAGAATCAGTCAGGGCTGCTTGGGATCCATCACATTCAGAAATAAACTGAAAGCCCTCCATGTGAGCCCCTGTGCTCCTCATCCCAGGAGAAGCTGTCCCTTAGATCCCAGCTGAGAAACTCCAGGAGCACACCAGGTTCTGGAGGAAACCTCTCAAGATGGATTGGAAAAGCTGGGCAGCACCAGCATGACATCACCCCATAGACCATGGCTGAGATGGGAGCAGGGGGTCTGCAGGACATCCCAACAGCACAAAACCTGAAATAATTTCCTCCAGCAGTGAGGCCATCCCTTTCCTTGCCAACTACCAAGCTGGTGCTGGCCCTAAGGTCATCGCTTGGTGACCACCATCGTTTGGTGATCACGCAACGCATGATCCCAGCACATGAGAAAAGCCTTAATTCCGAGACGGGCATCTCTGGGGAGGAGCTACCCTGGGGCTTGAACCACCAGAGATGGTCCTCTCCCTCCATCTGAAATGCAGGAGATCAGGAAGGTAAACTTCGCTTTGGCCTCCAGGATGCCAAAGGCTGGAGATCCCATGTGACAGGATGCCCATCAAAGGCCGGGGCTTGTCCAAGCACAAGAACACACAGAGCCTAGCTACCACGTACCTAGCACCACCTGAGATGCCCTCAATCACCCCAGACACTCATAGGGCGGCTGGCACGTAGGACACAGGGTCTGTAAGGGATGCAAACACTGCTGGAAGAGGAACTGAAGACCACCTGGGTACCACAAATCATCTCTGATGGCCTCAGCAGTTGAATGCAACCCCAGATCTCCATCAGCCATTTGGAGTACTTGATTGGGCTGCTCCTACACAGGCAACATGCAGCATTGGAGGTGCCTTCAGGTGTGTGAGACACAGAGGCAAAAACGTGACATGGAAGAGACCTGGAGTGACCTAAGTGACACTACATAGGCAGCCACCTCCTGTCACCAAATCCCACATCCCCAAGTTTTTCCTCTTTCACGATAATCCCCGCCTCTGCTCAGGACCATGAGTTAAAGGAGACGGTGAGTTTGGGTGGGATATGGCCCAAGGGGAGCTGCCTCTGCTCTGGGGTTGGGGTGAAGGGGCCCCCATCACTACAACACGCATCATGTAGGTGCTTCATGGCCAATACACCTCCGGCATCTCACCATGCCTTAAAGGGTGAAGGACCACCATCACCACAGGCAGTCTATTCCCAGGGCTGCAGGTGCAACCTCCCTTCTCCAGAGACACATGGACATAGCACATCCCAGGATGGGAACCTGCTGAGATGTGTCCACCACGGGCTGGGCTACAGAGAACAGACATTCAGGGACAGGCTCAACCCTGAAGACAAATCACCACCTCACAACCCGCAGCCAAGAACAGCATTTGGAAGAGGCCAGAGCTACCCCAGTGCTGTATCAAGGGCTGAAATGGGAGGAAGTTGGGAAGCTGTGGGGCAGAGAAGACCAACATGACCAGGAGGCCCACAACCATCCTTGCAGGGGGATCCACCAGCCCAAATCCCAAATGCGTCTTGCTGGCCCATCTTGCACCCAAATTCTGCAGGGTACAGGTTTGGTGGTGCTGTGCAAGATCCACCTTGCACCCAGGATTTGGTGGATCTCTCCTTACCACATCTGCTGGCAACACGTGCCAGGTGACCTCCCACTCACGTCTGAAGGATGCTGGGAGAAAGTATTGGGTGGGAAGGAGGCAAGACCACCAAGTACTGTACCAACACCATGTCAAAACCCAGCTGGACACAGCCACGAGCTGGAGGAGGCGATCAGACAGTCATCATTAAATAACCATCCTGTAATTAGTGTGCAGAGCGCCGAGGAGCGTGCACATCCCACCCCCCCGTTCCCAGCGCTACAGGGACCGTACGAAAAGGGGGGACAGGGTGGGACCTGGGATCTCCAGGAGTCTGAGGGACAGCACAAGGGCACCAGTGCGGACAAGGACAGGGCTCCCGTCTTGCCCTCGCGAGCAAAAGTCCATGTGCCACCCTCTGCCCAGCAGCCATCAGCCAAGGGGGTACAAATCCAGGCTCCAGCAGCAGTACAGGGGTAGCTCCGGGAAGTGAGAGAGGAGGAGGAGGAGGATGATGCAGAGGGATGTGTGTGTCTTGCTTGTCTGTACCCCATCCAGGTTCCTGCCTGGAAAGTCCCAGGAGCAGTTGGAGAAGGACTTACAGTGCTGGGCATTGCTTGCTGAGGCTCCCAAAGTGGACGGCAGCAGCACGTGTCCCCCCTTTCTTCTGCTCCCTACCAGCCCCACCAGTGCCCTGGGGCAGAAAAAAGGGGGGTGATTAACCGGGTCATTAGCAGCAGCATGAGATATGGACGGGACACTTGAACCCCAAAAGGCTTCAGGGGGAAAGGGAGGTGCCCGCTCCTCGCTCTCCCCCGTAATCCTTTCCACTGCCTGTACCGTTGTCGTATCTCCCAAAAAAACAGGCAGGTCTGTCCCCTCCTGCAGGCAACAGCACACCCCGACTCCCTGGGAGCCCCCAGCCCAGGCTGAGCCACGCTCACTGGGATGACTGGGGAGGGGATCTTGGGACAACTTAAGGGGGGGTCTCAGCCCTCCTCCCAGCACGAGGGCAAAGAAGAGGGCTCCTGCCTGCCCACTGGCGGT